TAACCGGTTGCTCAATCTGAAGTAAGGAGTTATCTTAGGGAACATCACCCCCAGTCTTTGGCTAAATAATCTACCCACAAGGCAGCGGGGCGGATTCAGGTCCATTGGGAGCCGGCGACTGAATGCTCAGTTATTACGCCTTTTGTTTGATGATACACAAACAGTGGCTCAATCCTCCCCATGATGTGAACACACACTTGCTGGAGTACAACGCTCCACTGAGGTGAAGCAAGGGGCGGTGACCTTAGTTAGTCACAACCGCCACGTCGCAGTGTTGTTAGACATTTATGGGTTTTTATAGGGAGAACGCTTGCCAGACGAAAACCCACCATTTCGCTGGAACGGGGTAACCGCAAACAAGCTAACTGGCCCAACGAGGTATTTCTGCAAGGCAGGCAATTTATACGACGCATCGGCAGTTGCAACAGTAACGGTCAGCTGTGGAACGTCATTTCATAGTAAGACGCCGTGCCGGCCCGTAGCCCTGATGATCACCAGCCTGCCTTGTAATCCGAGGGTGCGGGTTGGAATCTGCATAGGGACCGGGCGAGCCTCGCAGTATCCTTAGCACACGTGGTTGCGCAGCAGTAAAGCGTCGGTACAATGTACCGGCCATATCCCTGTGCTGAAGATAACAATGTGTATCCCTTCTGCTTCACACGATTAAGTGGATCAACGTAAACCTCAACCGTAGGAAAGCAGAACCAAATCGTATCCGGTTACTAACAGATTGGTATCGGGTCACTGACAATTCCCACTCTGGTTAGTAAGTGGTTAAAAACCAATATCCTAAATTTCATCGTTTCAGCCTTCAAATTCAAACTTAACTATGGCTGCCTATAAACAGAAACCTCTAATTGTCCTTGTGTTTAGATGAGGTTTATATGAGGTGCCGTTAGTTTTTTGACTGAAATAGTGTAGAAAACAGTGTTTGAATAAACACTTAGAACGAAAATTGACTTCTGTCAAATTCTCTAATACAAGACATCTTGGATTGAACATCTTCATCGTCTTGAACATCATCTTGGATTGGACATCTCCGTTCTTTGAATTGGACGAGGTGGTCCTACTACGATGTACTCGGTCTGTGGGGTCGAACTCCCCCGTGTATCTATCCAGGTTGATCTAGGCGTCGTACACTCCTCGAATTCACACTCAGGTGACAAGTGGAAGAAGGCCGCATGCAGAGATTAGCGCATGCTGTGGAATCTTTACGGGAGACGTCTTTGTGAAACTGTTCTCAGCATTTGTTCGGCTTCATCTGGAATACCGCGTCTAGGCTTGTTCGCCCTGCCTCGTCCGGGACAAAATGAAGGTAGTTTTACGGGTGGATACTAGGTTGATTGAAGGGATAGACGTATCCCGAGCGTCTAGTTAGTTTGAGAATGCACTCGATGCACTACCGATGGCTTAGACGAGACAAAATCCTCACCAGCCATATCTTAACTGGGAAGGTTGGTCCAGACTTAGCTTGACTATTCAGTCACGCTAGTTTATTCGTTCTTCGAGGTCATTCCATGAAGCTGGACAAACCGTGGTCCGCTATAAGTAGGTCGGGAATTCGGCTGTCACACCGAGTCATCATATGCTGGAACATGCTTCCGGAAATTGTTATCCGGGAATCTACGGCTAAATGGTTTGAGCGTTAACTTGACGCTCTTTGGAAAAAATAATAAAAATAATGTGTCAGCTGTACGCCGTAACGGCGCTTCGCTGTCGCGCGATCACCACCAGTCGCGCGCGGGCTGAGTATACCGTGAGGACGTCCAGCCCTACGCGGATTCGAACCGGTGACCTTATAGTTGCAAAGCAAAGGTGCAGACTACTCGGCCACCGGCCGACTGACGCTCTTGGGTGGCAACACGAAACCTTTTCCATTTCCTGACTAACTCGCATCTTCGTACTTCGATGTTCATTTCTGCTTTCCTTCATGCATTGGTATTATCTTCTTAGTTTAAGTGAACTTCCTTATGCTGTAGCTACGATTTCCCTTCCTCTCCTTTACTTACTTCATGTGACTGCCACGGCAGGGACTGTTAGTGCCATGTTGTTCCGATTTTTAGGCTGAAATATCGTTGAAAACAGTGTTTGAATACACACTGGGAACAGAATTTGACTTTGTCAAACTCCTCTCAAATCCATTGGATTCGAAGTGTTTGGATTGCCGCAAAGTAGTCATCACACGCTCAAAGACCGTGCAGTGCAAGATCTGCAATGACTGGCTGCATATTGCTTATTGCAATATCGAAGCCAATTTGTACGAACTTCTCCAACAGACCTACTCCTCGGTTGTCCTTTTCTTTTTTGACACGTGCCAGGGGGCTGAGGCGGATAAGAGCCTTGGGATCTGTTCAACCCCACTCAGACTCGTCGCCCAAGCACGGTAAACAAAGGATGATCTCCTCCCGCCAAATGTCGTGTCCAGCTCGGCGACTGCGAACTTAAGTCGTAGTGGAGACTCCTCTGCTTCATCTTCGGTGACCATGGCACGTAGTGGACGTAAAACCAAGGCGATCACTCCTGCTGTCAAACGTAGCCAGGTCTTATCTGGTTTGCTTTTGGAGCCGCTGGCGCCTACTGGTGACAGCAATGCTTTAAGCTAAGACGTATGCAGCAGCTGTTAGCGGTGGTGCAGCTCCAGCCTCCGTTAACCGGACCGCAGGCGTTCAGGGGAAAGCTGTCCGAAGCGCACCTAGGCCTAAACCAACGTCTAATAACAATAATAATATGAATAATAACAGTAATAATAATGTGTCAGCTGTACGCCGTAACAGCGCTTCGCTGCCGTGCGACCACCACCAATCGCACGCGGGCTGAATATACCGCGAAGACGCCCACCCCTACGCGGATTCGAACCCGCACCGCAAGATTACGAGACAAGCTCGTTGCCTCTAGGCTACGAGTCAACCCTTCCTTAGTCCCAACTAAAACAAGTTATTGACAGAGTATGCCATTTAAAAAAGCCGGTTAAAGACAACCTGCTTTCTAAGGAATTGGTGTTTCTGAGTCGCTGTCTTTCTGAATGGCCGAATGATGCCTACTCTACTCCTGTTTTCAACGGGGTCCCACAGTGTTCTGTTGTTGGTCCTGGGCTCATCAAAATCTACATCCATGATCTTCCATCTGAGCTTCAAACTGACTGCCTCATATATGCTGATGATCTGAAACTGTGACTAGAGGTGTCCAAGTTTGATGATGCTGACCGGCTACAGACAAAGCTGGACCGGTTACACTGGTGGTCAATGAAGTGTCGGCTACCCACTAACCATGCTGTGTTCTTTCCTCCCAATTGGTGCCCCGGACACCTTTGATGTTGATCACATTGGGGGATTCATGCTCAAGAACACAACCTTGGGGGAGTTCTGGTCTCGTCAAACCTACGCATGACTCAGGACACCCTAAAGTAAGTTGCCGCTGCTAATATGATGTTCTTTATCATAAGTAGATCCTTTTCCCAGAAGACTCCAGAGATAATCCGGCTTCTGTTCAGCTCTCATGTCCGACCAATTCTCTCAAGAAAGCCAAATGTGTACTGATAGAGAAGGTACAGCGGCGTGCGTAAGTCATGACACTCCGGAACCTGTCAATCTCGTCGCCTTCAAAGGACGAACTTGTTCTGCCTGGAATATTGTCGTCGCCGTGGTGACCTGGATTTACACGCGACGTATTTTTCGAGGTGAGATGAGGAGTGAAGTACAATAGTTCTTTTGTCTTCGTGCAGTTAGCTCGACACGAAGCCACAGTATGAAGCTGTTTAAACCAAGTGGGCTCCAGGTTCGCTCTGATGTCACTTTGTCAAGTCGTGTGGTGAATGACTGGAACAGTTTACCTAAGCTAGTCGTCAGTGCGCAAACAGTGGTGTTTCAAACGATTGCTAGACATCTATTTGCTGGACAAGCATGGATCTTGCTGTGTGGACTGTGACTGCAATGCTCCCTTGTGGAACACTGCGCCGCATCAACTCAAATAATCCCTACAATGAGCGGGAAGTGATGGGGCTAACAAAGGATTTCCTTTCTGCTCTCTACAAATCAATGAACCAATGAAAACATGGGCAGTAATTGATTAGCCAGGGTGTGATACGGGTGTTCCGTTTTAGATCCGTCAAGAACTCGGAGCACCTCACTAATTCCTGGCTCAACGATCCACTCAAGAAAGAACACTCACGGGATTCTCCTAACGTTCCAGTCGCACCTGCACTTGAATTATAGGCCTTGATATTCATTCCACTCGCTTTAGTTCTCCAGGTGGCGTCGCCCGCCCCCAGACCAAATGGCTGTTCTTTGGAGAGCGGACATGACGGGCCGTCAAGCCTGTCCGGATTTGATGGAAACCACATGGTTTCAGAAAAGTTTGTCAGACGTCTCTTCCCAACCTCCGGTTTCGCATACTGTTGCTGTGCAAACAATACGCGATGCGCTACAGGTGGCGTAACCGGATGGAAACTATTTCTATTCTTCCCGCCCAGATACTTATCAGACTCTAGAATGCGTGATCCCATCAGTTATACTATCCTCAGGTGGCAACTTGGTTATCTTGACAATTATGTCAACGGTTAAGGATTTAAACCGTAGTAATAGCGTACTCGCCGAAGTCACATCTCCTCTGCGTGGTACGTAGTCGTGTGGGGTCCGTGTTCGCCTCGGCACAGTGATGTAGAAACGCGAGGAAATCCAGTCTTGGGGTGTATCAATCAGAATTCAACCAGCCACCTTTCCGAGACGGACAGCCAGTAAAAGCAGAATCTATCGCTTCGAGTAGGTCGTTGCAACTGAGGACAATGCCAATGAAACAACTAAGTTATAATGATAAAATACAGTTAAGAAAAATAGGTATTCACTGCAATGAAACAACCTTTCTTCGCCATAAACAGACGTATGTTTAGCAGTAAAATGAAAGTTAAATCCGTTTGTAACCAATTCGTTACGATGGAATGACACTGTGCGAATGATGAACACCCTAGTTGTCTGGAAATAGTTGACATAAAAACAGAAAAAGCATTCAAAAAGCAGTCTGTATTGCGGTTAGTACAATGAAGGCCCATAGATGCCATACTCAGCCCAAGTTAAGTGAAAAACATTGTATAGAGAACGAGCGGTACGAGAGCAATGAGAGAAATAGCGATAAGTGCCCATCTCAACTGGCTTCTCTTCGTGGTAGCAGCCGGAGACGCATATTTTGCCTTCGACGGAAAGGATGAGGTCCGCTGACGCGCAACACTTTCACCAGTCCAATCGTGGTGGTCCTCCCAATTACTGATCCCATCGTTTGTGAATCATGAGGCTTACCTTTGTTCTATAGTGCAAGCAGCTGCAGCGGGAGTTATGCAAAAATGGACAACTTACGGTCAATAAAACGCGCCAGTTTCTTCAGCAAAATAGTTCGTGTGATTTCATCTACAGCAGTCAAATGATAATGCGCTTATTACCGCAAATAGGAGGTGGATCGTAGCCGAATTCTTTTAGTCGCGAACGAATTTCATCATCGGACAGTGAGCGATCGACGACTGAGTAGGGTTCTGTCATAATGTAACATGCAAGCAGGGAAGAACTCCAACGGTTGAGAAGGAAGTTCTATTACAAAACACGTAACCTCTAGACTGAGTAATCGACATGAGATGAAATGGGACAAAGGAAATTACAGTTAACCACTGTCTTCGTGTTCTTGTTCTCCTCTAGTACTTGAGAAAGAAAGGCGCTCTGAAAGGTAAACGATAGTGCCGTCAATGCAACGATTTAAGTTCGGAAGCGCGTCATAGATAGTTTCGGTCCTTCTCTACACCACACCACTAATCAGGCAGCGTCCCCGTTGCCACACCAAAGAATCCTTAAGCCGGTACCTCCAGTTCAACCGCTACTTCATTTAGCCCCCGACAGTGTGGTAAGTTTTCCTTCGGAAAGGCTTAAGTCATTTGAAATGTACTATCATGGGTTGACTGGCAGAGTTGTTGGAATCTTCAATAACACATGTCACATCCGATATCATCAGTTGTACTATGTGCGCCCCTGTCCACTCATGGTGTGGTGTAACCGGGACTCCTACAGTTATTACCCGGTGCAAGTAAACCTAGTCGCCAACCTTCAAAAGAGCACCGAATACTTCCTTGTGGTAATAGTCTTTCTGTCGTCGGTGAACGTTCCCAAGATGAACGTGTGCCGCTTGATGTGTTTGAGAAAGGGACTCAAGAAGTCTGCTAACACTGTCACCGATGAGTGTGACAGTTGCGAAACTGGTAGTCGAATGTCAGACGGTAATCGGACTTCTCTTCCGGTCCACAAAAAAATGGTGTTTGACCAATAGTGGCGTTAAGTGTGCTCCGATATGCCAGCAAGCACTTTGGCAATATGGTCCCACTCACTTACATTTTGATCCACAAAGGCTTCCAGCAGCGAGTTCAGCGACCGATTTGTACGCTCGACTTGCCCGTTGCCTTGGGAATGGTAAGCCGTCGTTCGCGGCTTGTCTATACCGAACACATGACAAAGTTTCTGCACCAACCAACTCTCGAAACATGAGCCCATATCAGAGTGCATCTGCCCTGGTGCTCCTCAATGACACCCAGTGATTCGCCATCGACGTTGTCGCTGTGACTGTATCAGCTTGTGTGATCGAGGCGGTTTCACACCACCTAGTGAAATAGTCGAGCATGACCAGGAAGTACTGATGCCCACGTGGTGCTTCTGGTAGAGGGCTAACAAGACCTACCCCCACTATCTGGTTCAAGTACCCTACATTCATAGGCCACAATGATGCTCTCCGGGTGATGCTCTGGTTCTTGAACGTGACGCATCTCACACGTCTGGCAAAAGTTAGCGACATCTCTTCGTTGATGTGGCCACCAAAACCGTTGACGCGCTGCCGCCTCAAGTGTATTGACTCCAGCATAACCCAGCTGTCCATACAGTTCAGATAACACTTTGTAAACTAATGGTCGTGAAACTACGATTCTCTTGACGTAGTTTGGACCAAAATCAAGCAATAACACACCTTCCTCTATGGCCCATAAGCATCGAGCTTCCTAGCTTTTTCCTTCCATTTCCCTCACGGTAAATTTGTCACTCCCCAAACGCCGCTTGTTAATAGTCGGTGATGAGTTTGCCGCCTGTGACTCTGGACAACGACCGTACTCCGAACTGTGAAGGTTAACTAGAGCTACGCGTTGTACAGTACAAGACGGGCAGTTTCCATGAGCACGAATACGAAGTCTGAAAAGAGCGTGCGCGTTGGAATGCTATGCACCACCTCAGTGTCGGCATACAAAATCACACTCTTATAGTTGATCCTGCCATCTAGCAATCTGTCCTCCGGGTCTCTGAAATGCTGTAACCTGCGAAGTGACTGATGGTCTATCCGTACCAAAAACTTCCTTCCCAATCATCATCATCATCATCCTCATACACGTGGGGAACACCACAGGTGGGGAACACCACAGGTGGGGAACACCTCAGCTACTGTGCCGCAATACATAGAAAAAGGAGAAAAAAGCAACTGGTGCAAGCCGGCTGAGCTACCGGTGACGGGTGGGCATCGTTCCCGTAAGCTACCAGCCGGCTGCTGTGCACCCAAAAAATTACTATACAAAATTATATAAGGCTAAATAATGAGATCGTGGTTGGAGGGGGAGGCTAAGAGGGATGGGGTGGGACAAAGAAACTCACGGCACGAACGCCACCGAGGTCGGCTCCTAGCCAAATCAGCAAGTGTGTCCAACCAAACGTGTTCATCGTCTTTCGGACCCCAACCAGGGAGCCGAGACGCTCCAACCGAGGCCAGCTCCGAAGTGAGGGCCTTCATTCTTCTCGAACAAGTCATTGCTTGGCCACCCCTCCTCTTCTTCCATCCACATCCCCGGCGCGCAAACAACACACGTCGCGGGAGTCGGTGGGCTGGCATGCGTAACACGTGGCCAAGCCATCGGAGCCTGGTGCGTGAAATAACGGTGCTGAGCGGTTCATTTTCTTTTCCTGTGCCGTAAACAAGGCGTCGAACACGTTCGTTGCTCACGCGGTGTTCCCACCAGATGTGAGCTAAATTACGAAGGCACCGGTGGTAGAACGTAACTAGCCTCTTCAGGTCCGTTGCTATAAGGGGGCCAGGTTTCACAACCGTACAGTAGGGTCGAACGTACCGCTGCATTGTACACGCGTTATTCAACGTTCACGGTGGACGTTAAACTACCCTTCAGGGCAAGAGTGATGTCGCGCCCCCGCCAAAAGTGGCGAAGGTTAGCAAAAGCGCCCCAAGCTTTTGCTATACGGTTCGTGATCTCATCTTCAATCCCACGGGCGCTGATACAACTTCCCAGGTAGTTGAATTTCTGAACGACTTCTAGCTGATCCCCACCAAGGGTCAGTGTAGGAGGCGGTCCAGACCAATCTTGGAGGAACGCTTTGCACTTCGAGGGTACGAAGCAAAGCCCGAAGTGACGGACAGCTAGTGCTAATCTGTCCAGTGCCGCTTGGCACGTCTGGGAGCTGTCACAGATTAGGGCAATATCATCAGCATACTCTAAGTCAAGAAGTCGTTCTCCTGGGAGCAGATCCACACCTTCTAAGTCGTGTTCTATAAACGCGATTTCCATGAATTCGTCAACAGCGAAGTTGAAGAGGAAAGGTGACAGCGGGTAGTGTCAATCTTGTTTGTGAAAAATACTAGAGCTGACATTTCCTTTCTGGTTGTGCAATAGTTCTGTTCTCTCGCAGTGACTCCTACTGCTATAAGACACCACTCGTTCTATTCCGTCTTGCCCTTTCTGCGACAAAACAGCCCCAATCGCCTGGTCGCGAGCGTCCATGTTTAGAATGAACTCCCCGGCATTTAGTAACAGATAGGGGAAAATCAACACAGGGGCGGTACAGAGGGATTCTAGTAACTGAACGAGATTGCTGACACAAAACGTCCCCATTCGAAAGTTCGACCTTTCTGTAACAAAGCATCCAAAGCGTTGCGATCTAAAAGAAAGCTTTTATGAATTGTCGGTAGTAGGAAACAAACCCTAAAAAGCTACGTAACTCGTCAACCTTAGCAGGGGTTGCCCATGATTTCATATGTTCCGTCTTGCGAGGATCCGTTAGAATTCCCATCCGCGAAACGATGTTTCCAAAATATGTTACTTCTTCCTGTAAAAATGGCACTTGGTCAGGTTGAATTTGAGTCCTACTTCGATCAAGTGTTTCAATACTTCTGCGGAATTGTGCAGGTGTTCTTGGTTTGTTTTCCCATGTAATATAACATCGTCCAGGTAAATGAGGCATTTCCGCGGGATTAATCCCTGCAAAACCTGTATCAGGCGTTGAAAGGTCGCAGGTGCGTTTGCGAAACCTAAAGGCATGGTTTGGATTGCACAAAACCCTGATAGTACCACGGATGCGGTTTTCGCCTTATCACTCTCTTCCAGTTATACTTGCCGATACCCAAAGGCAGATCTAACGTGCTGTAATATGCCGATCCTGCCAGCGCGTCGAATAAGTCATCGATTCTAGGACGAGGAAACGCGTCCTTCTGAGTGTCTTCATTTAATTGATAATCAATATATAAACGGAAACTACCATCCTCCTTTTGCAAGAGCACCACCGGGGCTGCCCATGGGGAAGCAGAAGGCCGTATAATCTTCTTTTTCGGCATTTCATCTATCAGCTTTTGTAGTTCACCCTGCCAATGTAGAAGGATTCGTCTCGAAGGATTTCAATTGGAATCACATCCTCCGTGTCGATTCGGTATTTTAAAAGGTCAGTTCGACCCAGATCACCCGTTTGCCATGCAAATGCTTCTGAGTGGATCTGTAACAAAGCCTTAGGCACTTTCAGGGTATGCTCGTGGGTGGATAGGTGGAGGAAACGAACGAAGGCACTGAGGTTTTGTTTATTGTCTTAATTATCATCATAAATCGCGAAGCCTTCCAAACTATCACTTGCGTAAGGTCTAAGCAAAACAGTGCAATTGTCTGTGATTAGCTGACATATGTCCAAATCCAAACGACATCTCAAACGGCATAACAGATCCATCCCAATGATTACATCGAAGGGAATCCTATCAGCCGCGATGAACTCGTGGTTGAAATTCTGTTTTGAGATATCCACACGCGTGGTCAAGGATTCCCGAACATATAACGACTCTCCGTTGACGGCAGTTAGACGGTAGCGACAAGGTACCCGTACGCAATCTTTTATCCGTCTAGTTAGGCAGAACTTAATAAGACTCGTTCATGCGCCGGTGTCGATGAGACCCAGTAATCGGACCCCCGCAACTTGTAATTCTGTTGTTAATGCATGTATGTCATGCATGTTGTCAAGTTCAAGTTCAAGTGGGACCGGAACAGTAGGAGAAATCCCCGTAAATGTTTCTTTCGTGACACGTCGTTAATCTAGGATTTTATTCGTCCGCGATAACTGGAGTCCAAAAGAGTCAGATCAGCACGTGCGAATCACACCAAGGTCAACTAATTAATAACCAAACGATATGCATTGGCAGTCCCCGCCGCACCGGTCACGTAAAAGAAGAAACCGGTACGAAAGTAATAAGAGCGTTAAGAACCAAAAAAGTAATAGAGTTAATGATTCAATAAGGCGAAAAAGCTAAGCTGTAAAGGGGTATGTTCAGAATTGAAGGCCAAGAGCGTCAAGTCGGTATTCGAACTCTTTCACCGTTGGTACCAATACCACGTTCTCGGGCAGTGCATTCCAGGAATTCACCACTCGGCGTGATAAACGAAAGTCCGCCCGGACTCCATCCGATCGAGGTTTGCGTAACTTCAGCGAGTGACCTCGGAGCAATGGAAGCCGAGCCGGTTGGAAAAGCACAGATAAATCGGGTCCGATTTTAGCGGTAAGTATGCGATAGGTCAAGACTAGGTCGCCTCGATGTTGACGATAGTGCGTCGAGAACATTCCCAGAGCAAGTAGTCTTTCTGGGTAAGAATGGTTCCGTAGTCCATGAAAAATTATGGTTCCAACTCTCAACACACTTTCCACTGACATCCTGTCCCTGACTAAGCAAGGTGGACAAGCCTGGATGCAGTATTCCAAGTGTGGCCTGACAAATGCTGAGAATAATTTAACAAACATAGCGCCCGTGATGGTCCCGAATGCCCTGCGGACCACCCACTACATTTTGAAAACCTTGCACGTAGCTTTCCTCCAGTTCTCACTGGATTTAAGTTCTGAAGACAATGTGATCCCTAGGTCTACCAATTTGGAAACATGGTGTAGTTCATTACCGCCAAGCAAATAACGCGTTTGGGGGCTATTTGGCCCTATTCGTAAGGTGGAACACTGCATAATTTATGGGCAACTGCCACAGAGCAGCCCAGTCCCAAAGTTTATCGATGGCCCGTTGCAGAGTCTGGGGTTCATCGAAGTCCGACACTATGTGTCAAAACTTCAGGTCATCTGCAAACATGAGAGATGGTACCTCCAGCAGTTCGGGCAGCTCGTTGACATACAAGGAAAATAA